GCACACACGCTCAAGAAGCAGCAGAAGTCGAATGTCGACACTCATAAATCCAACATACATACATAACGGTACCAGATCTGGTGACCGTAAGTGAAGTTGTGGGGTTTCGCGATGTAGTCTCGCACTCAGGATGGGTTCGAGAAAGGAAACTCACAGTGCGCTCTCTGTACATATATTGTATTGGATGTACAGTGCAGCTTGGTGCTGGGAAGCTGCTGCGTGGTTAGAACTTAGAAGCGTGGAGTAGAGAGATCTGGTTGGTGAGGAGCTTGCTCAGAGGAGGTGTTGCGTGCTGCGTGGCTGTAGGTAGAAGAGGAGGTCTTATATAGCGGAGGTAGGAGTGGCTTGATAGCTGACCTCCTCTTTGTCAGACGTCTCTAGTAGCCAACCTAAGACCACGAGGCATTGGCTGGGAAACCCGAAAAGGGATCGGCTAGTCAGCAACAAACGGCAGTTGTAGTTGTAGGGGAAATTTCCACTACTACAATACTCCCCCTTCCCTCCGGGCGGTGCAGGAGACTTGTTGCAGGGTTGTATCCCACATGTGAGACATAACGGGCCGGGGTGTGGATTAGCTGGCCGCTACGGGAGACGACTCTGTCTAGAGACACGAGATCTGTGGGAGAAGCAGAGGTAGAAGGAGGGTTGTGGGTAAGAGAAGGTTGTACAGGCGAGGAATGTGGTGCTTCTCTCGCGGCAGGTACACAGTCCTCAGTGGCGCCGGGTGGGGTGTCTGGGTCCATAGGGCCGGCTGCGGGGTCGTCAGGAGCAGTGAGTACCTGAGGAAGAAAAGAGGGTGCCCAGAAATGTTGTGGGCGAGGTGGTGCTGCAAGAGGTAATGGTGGGCAGACTGGTGGAGGAGGTGCGGGATGAATGTATTCAGGGCGGTGGGAAGGCTGGCATGGAGCAGTAGCCTTGAATGCAGAAACCGCCTGACGTAGTATTTGTAGGAGGTCGTAACGGGCAGCAGGAGTGAAGTGGTCAAGGTCAGAAGTAAGGCGTGTGATGTGCTGCTTGATAGTGGCGGAGGTTAAGGTGCTTCCCAGTCTCCGTCGATGTCGCTTCGCCGTGTGGTTAAAGGGAGCCTCACAGCATCTAGCGTTAGCACCAAAACGTTAATGGTACCAACAGGGGGTAGATACACTGCGCTGGGGGCTGGGGGCGGCGTCTGAGGCAGGACGGGTGTGTTGGGGTTGGTAGGGCGTAGTGCGTGGGGCAGGAAGAGGGGCAGCTGCATGCTTGGAGGAGCAGAGCTGCTCTAGGGTGTCTAACCTGCGGTGTAGGGACAGTAGCAGGTCTCACATGTCTTGTGAGGTGTTGGTCGTCTGGGGAGCGCTGGTCATGTTGACGAGACCGGAGGAAAGTGAAAGTGTGTCCGCGGAGTTGTGTGCGGACGCATAGCGCACAGCAGTGTATTCATGGAATACCCTGTCTGCGGTGGCTGCGTAGGTGGCCGAGGTAGTGGAATGGTCCAATACTGAGAGGACAAGACGAACTTCTGCAGGGAGCTTCTGAGTGTGAAGCTGGCGCAGGATAGTGTCAGGAAGCCTGTCTGTGTGGCGGGAGTTCCGTCTACGCATCTCGTCCCAGAGACGGGCAGGCGTTGAGTTGACGAGGGAGAGGCAGGGTAAGTCTTGTAGGAGACTGGTGTGAGGCCGCTGGTATCGCTTCTTCAGAGCATCCCGTAGGGCAGCGAATTTGTTGTCAGCTGGAAGGTTGATGATGGTCTCTGATACTTGCGTGGCGACTTCTGTGGGCAGGGAACAGACCAGGGCGACGTACTTTTGTTTGTGTATAGCTGTAGAGCCGATGAGAGCTGCCTCCGTGTGGATAAGCCAGTCTTCAATGTTGTGATTGAAGACTGGGAGAGTGATCAGTTTCTCCTCCATCCTGTGTGAGTGCGATTCTCAGGGGTCACCATTTGTGGGGTTTCGTGATGTTGTCTCACACTCAGGATAGGTTGGATGTACAGTGCAGCTTGGCGCTGGGAAGCTGCTGCGTGGTTAGAACTTAGAAGCGTGGAGTAGAGAGAACTGGTTGGTGAGGAGCTTGTTCAGAGGAGGTGTTGCATGCTACGTGGCTGTAGGTAGAAGAGGAGGTCTTATATAGCGGAGGTAGGAGTGGCTTGATAGCTGACCTCCGCTTTGTCAGACGGCGCTAGTAGCCGACTTTAGACCACGAGGCATTGGCTGGGGAACCCGAAAAGGGATCGGCTAGTCAGCAACAAACGGCAGTTGTAGTTGTAGGGGAAATTTCCACTACAAAGTTCCCTCCAAATGACAAAATCTTACTACACAGCGCACCATTGCACCGCGTACAGTCTTTACCTTGACGCGACATACAAGTCCATCATCATCTGGATTTGCTTCAATTATCCTACCTAAGGGCCATTGATGTCTCTGTGTATGCTCTCCAGTGACAATAACCATGTCGTTGAGTTGAAAGTTTCGTCGTGGAGTGAGCCATTTTTGGCAACTGCGCAGCAGAGGCAGGTATTCCTTCACCCAACGTTTCCAGAACTGGCTCGCTAGAAACTGGGCAGTTACTATTGTCTGCGATAAGATTCTTCAGTTCGCAACTCACCTAAAGGCAAGGCTGGTAGTACGGTACGGTACGGAATATTTTTCCGTACCCCGTACCTGGCTAAAATACCATACAGTAATTTCGTACCGTACCCCCAATTATTTTTCCGTACCGTACAGTACGGAAAAAATACCGTACCGGAATTCCGTACTTTTATCGTACCATCAGCAAAATATATTTACAACAAAATAATTCTCTATTTGTGACAATTTATAAGAGTACATGTGTGGATTTGAAAAGGAACATTTACGAAGTGACTATAGATGTAAATGTGCCCACATAATATTGTTGCCTTATTACGGAATTTTATTTCTTAGTCTACCTAATTTACAACGAAGCAAAAATATGTGTCATCTTACCAATAACGTGCAATATTAGATCAAGTGCCCCTGCCTGCCTCGGATGACTGCTCCCAACGGCGACAATGGAAGGAGTGACTGTGGAGTGTGGAGAGTTGGAGACACTACTCTCAACTCTCAAGTTATAAGTGAATAGCTCGCGTGACGCAACGTGATCAGTACTGACAGTACCAGACTACCAACTGGCGCCTGGCGGACGGTACTGATCACGTAAGTGCACTCACTGAAGCCACCAACGCATTGACCTTTGAAGATCGATGACACATTTCTTTTCTCTTTTCTGACTATTATTAGATGATTTTATTCAATTTAGGAAGGGTATATGAAAGACAATAGACAGATGGCTAATTCAGCTAGTCTATACTGTTTATTCCCATAAATCCTTCCAAAGCTGCACAAAAGTGTCTAATGATAGCCAGAATAAACTGTCAAAATGCGTCACAATCCTCAAGGGGTTAATAATTGCAGGATCATGTTTTTAAGCCTGGGGTACGGTACGGTACGGTACGGAATTTTGCTCATTTTTCCTTACCTAAATCGTACCGTACCGTACTTCAAGGAAAATATCGTAACGTAATTCCGTACCATACATTCTGAATAAATATCAACCGTACCGTACTTTGTACCGTACCGTACCGTAATGCCAACCTTGCCTAAAGGCAGACCGCGTTTCGATCCCGGGCACAAAAGGTGGTTGGGCGTAATTGCCTCCAGATCGTTGACGTCGTCCGACACGGGAGTAATAGGCTGCTCGTTCACCACTGCTTCCACTTCTCAGAAGAGCGTCTGCAGGCGTTCGTCGTCCAATACTTGCACTTCGTGACGTTGAATCTTAGCAGCCATTTCTTCGACCATTCTTCAAGCTCATAGAGATCTTTATGTAGCTCTTCACAGTCTGTTTGGTTCTTAATTTCCCCAAATAACTTGGTATCGTCCGCAAACATTGTTTGGTGGAGTGTATTACTTCTGGCATATCATTAATGAAGCAGACAAACAACAATGGGCCCAATACACTGCCTTGTGGTACCCCACTTGTGAAGGGTACACATGACGATTTCGTGCCATTAATCACCACACATTGCTTGCTGTCATGCAGAAAGTCTTTGATCCACGCTTGGACACTTCCCCGAATCCCATACCCTTCCAGTTTAATTCTCAGCCTTTCATTGGGTACGCTGTCGAAAGCCTTGGCGAAATTTAGGTATATATTGTCGATATTTCCACCTTGCTCTAAAATTTGAGTTCAAACATCCAGTATCTTGAGTAATTATGTTTAGCAGGAGCGCCCCGGCATAAAACCGTGTTGGCAGTCCTTTACAAGGTTGTTTCGCAGTAGATGTTCCATCATGGCACCTTTTACTGTACTCTCTAGTACTTTGCTCACTATGCTGGTCAGGTTCACAGGTCTAGAATTATTCGTGGAGTGACGATCGCCCTTCTTGAAGATAGGACTCACATAAGCCATTTTTAGATCACTGGAGACCTTTTGTTCATCCAAGCATTTGCAGAACAGGATCATAAGGGGCTACACAAGCTCGTTGCACAGTTCTCTTAACACTCTAGGGTGTACCATATCAGGGCTTTGACAGTTTATATCTTATAACATCCTAGAACACATGTGGGTCAGCACTGTGTCAAACCGTCTGTCCTCAAACGCATGAATATTGTTTGCATCCTCTCTTGTGTACACCGATGAAAAGAATTTGTTCAACGCCTCCACCTTATCCTAGTCAGAATCAGCATGCATAACTACCATCTTCAAGCCTCAGGTTCGATATGCCTACTCGCACTTTTAATTTGGACATGAGGTAATCTGTGACTGTAAATTTGAGAAGTTACAATACCATCCGTCCTGGTAGAGGCGTGAGAGGGATACTATCATATTAAGTGACACTTGTCAGGGTGAGAGGAGAGCTTCTTGATAGTATACTTGCATAAATCTATTATCATTTTTATTTGGGATAATGTATTCTACACGCTCCTTCTTGATATTATTATTGTTTTATTATTTTTTAAGGTATTATACATAACGTGAACCAGATGTTTTCGTATTCTCAGATAGCTGCACACGCGGCCACATCTCCCTGTCCAGGATAATCGGCGGCGAGATAGTCGATGTGGGAGAGTTCCCCTGGCAGGTCAGTACGGTCTGGGTACCCCCCCCCCCCGAGGCTTAACACACACACACACATATATATATATATATATATATATATATATATATATATATATATATATATATATATATATATATATATATTTATTTATATTTATTTATATATATATATATATATATATATATATATATATATATATATATATATATATATTATATATATATATTTATATATATATATATATATATTTATAAAGAACATAAGAACATAAGAAATTGGGATACTGCAGGAGGCCGACTGGCCCATACAGGGCAGATCCCTTTCACACCCATCAGCACTTCCCATGTGCCTATCAACTTCGTCTTGAAGCTCCTAGCGTCCCCGATCCTACTATAGCACTCGGTAGCCTATTCCACATATCCACAACTCTATTACCAAACCAGTGCTTGCCTATATCCTTTCTGAATCAGGAATTTATCTAATTTAAAGCCATTTGTTCTAGTTATTTCGTTATTACTACAGGCTTCAGAACATCTTCCATTTTACCCTTGTTAATCCCACTTACCCACTTGTACACCTCTATCATATCTCCCCTAACTCTACGCCTCTCTAATGAATGTAAGCCTAAGCTTTTCAGTCTTTCTTCATATGGAAGGTTTCTAATATTATGGATCATTTTTGTCATTCTGCTTTGTACTCTCTCCAAAGAATCTATGTCCATTCTATAATAAGGACACCAGAACTGAACCGCATAATCCATGTGTGGCCTCACTAGGTATATATATATATATATTTATATATATATATATATATATTTATATATATATATATATATATATATATATATATATATATATATATATATATATATATATATATATATATATATATATATATATATATATATATATATATATATATATATGCTGATAACCACAAGGAAAGAAGAAAACACGAAGTTCCCAAGCGCTTTCGTGTAATTCACATCTTCAGGGGTGAGTACAGACTAGAGAGAGAAATACAAATCAAGGTGTATATATACAGAGGAGGGTGAGACCAGGTCCACAATGGTCAGGTATTAGGTAATGACCCTACTAATCTTTAAATAGCACACAACGGTTGGTGGTCAGGTCAGATGGTCAAGTGACCCGGCCTTCTCACCTGATCACAAATCTTCTTAATTACAAAATTGTCCAGCTTGTACATGCCGTTACTCAAATTCATGTTGAATGCTTCGGTATGTTTAATAAGACTAGATTCTATGATGTTCCTACTATCAATTGAATTACATGGTAATATTGAGGAGGCATTATCCCAGTCAATGCAATGCTTGTTATCCCTCAAATGAACAAACAGAGCATTGGATTCCTGGCCTGTCCTAACACTGTATTTATGTTGTTTAATTCTAGTTGCAAGATCTTTACCTGTCTGGCCTAAGTAAAACATATTACATTCCTTGCAAGGAACTTTATAAATGCAACCAATTGTGTTGTTGGGGGAGTTCTTGATTAACATTTGTTTCACAGTGCATGAATTTTTAAATGCCACATTGACGTTCCAGGTTCTTAGTTGTGAAGGAATGTGTGAGAAATTTTTGTGAAATGGTAATATTAAGATATTCTTATGGTCATGGGTGGGCTTGGGATCAGTTCTATAAAAAGTTTTCTTAGTAATGTTTAGGCATTTGTCTATGAAAGATCTAGGGTATTTAAGGTTTGAGCCAATATTATATATATATTTGTATTCCTCATCGATGAATTCCGGACTGCAAATTCTCAAGGCACGTAAAAACATTGTTGAAAATACTGACTGTTTGACTTTATTATGGTGGGCAGAATAATAATGAATGTATGAACACACATTAGTTAGTTGGTTTTCTATAAATACTGAACTAAAAAGTGTTACCTATTCTGTGTATCAGACAGTCTAGGAATGGCAATTTACAGTCTTGCTCTAATTCCACAGTGAATTTGATGGAGGGGGCTAAGTTGTTAAGTTGTGGCAGGAAAGCTTTTAGGTCCTCATTACATGGCCAGAGACATAATACATCATCAACATATCTAAACCAGACTGCTGAGGGTGGTAAAATATTACTGGTTTGGTAATAGAGTTGTGGATATGTGGAATAGGCTACCGAGTGCTATAGTAGGATCGGGGACGCTAGGGAGCTTCAAGACGAAGTTGGATAGGCACATGGAAGTGCTGGGATGGGTGTGAAAGGGATCTGCCCTGTATGGGCCAGTCGGCCTCCTGTAGTATCCCACTTTCTTATGTTCTTATGTTCTTATGTATGGATTGATCAAAACCCATAACTTTAATAATCCATTGTAAGGTGCCGCTTTTTCTCTTTATTCTATCCTTCATATTTAATCTATCTCATATACTTGTTCTTTTCATTCATCAATATATTTGTATTCTCTACATTCTTGCTCATATCTATCTTTTATATTAATCTTTTCTTGTGTGCATAGTTTAATAATTTCATATGCTGTGACCTTCTTTCTTCAGTATAAGTATACAGTATATCTTATATTTCTTTGCTTATATTTGCTAAGTCAATATTCCTATATTTCTTTGCTTATATTTTCTAAGCCAATATTCTTTTCTTTACTTCATTTCTTCTTTCATATATATTATTGTATTTTCTGAATTTTATGCCCTTACTTTCTCTCAATTCTATCCTGTTTATTATATTCTAAACCAATGATTAGTCTGGGAAACCATGTCATTTATTCTTATAACACTTATTATACTTACAACGGTAGCCTGCCACCACCCAGACTTTTATTAGAATATAACATACCTTAGTGAACTGTTAGGTAGCGTGCGAGTGAGCTTCTAGGCACGTGAGTTACAATAGTTATTTTCTGAAAACCAATGTGTAGGAGGGATAGAGCGGTGATACTCCTAGTTTACTAATTTATTATTTATTAACATAAGGAGTGGATAAGATTTTAATTAAGTTCACTCAGACAAGACTGGACCACTTAAGTCTTACATTACAAGTAACAAATTAAATCTTCAATTCTTATTACATCATTAAACAACTGTTGTATTATTTCTTTGACAAATTAGATGGTTATTTTACACGTTCCGATAGGCCTGGACCCTCAGGTCTTACTTTACAAGTAACAAATTAAATCTTCAATTCTTGGTTACAACATTGTACAAGCATTATATTAGTTCATTGTCAATACAGATGGTTATATGACACACTTGGCAATATTCCGAATTAAAATATTATCTAAACTGGCATGTTATTTCGGAATAAATAACATGGCACTTTTCCTTCAGTTGATGTACTCAACTCACGTACATATTTACTGATACTATCAATTTTTATGGGTTCACTACTGAACCTCGGATAACTATATTCCTGCTAATCATCTCCAATCATATACAACAACAATACTTTGGCCCATATAACTGTAAGGAGTGCCCCAGGGTGTAACAACAAACGAAGAACGCTGTTAAGGTCAGTTGTAGTCCGACACCCGGGCCTAGTTCCCAGGGTGCAGACTCGCATAGTTTAATCCTGCCGAATTAACGACATTATTCAATACAGCCAGCTGGTATGCAGCTACCTATCCCCGGTAGCTGCTGGGTATTCAACTAACACACACACGGTGCCTGAGATAATGATTGAGAAGCGTCAGAGATGTGAATAATAACTCAATCACAAACAATCATTCGTCTAGCAACGACTGACAATATTTACATTACATTAATTCTTTCACTGCGTAAATGACAATTTCACTGTTACAACATGAACACTGATATTCACAAAATTTACTGAGTTAAACTGACTTAATATGGCGGGCGGAGAATCGTACACATACCTGAGATAATGATGGAGAAGCGTCAGAGTTGTGACGCTCCTCCGTGCATGAGTTTATATACTGGCAACTCAGGCCTGTGCGGAACACATGCCAGACAAGCTAATCCCGCAATGACAGAAATTACATTCAACTCAGTTGCTGTACATTTAACTATGACATTCAATGCCACGGGTCAGGCGAATTTCCTACGTCTATTCATATAATCTAATCAGAGATTGAGCTTGCCAGGAAAAAGTGGAATTGCGCATGTTGTTAACATTAGTTTTACAAACTCAGCGCGGCTGCGAACAAGGAACTATTCAAGGGGATACTTAGATGTTGAAGATTATACAGGTTGACAGAGTAGTTCAGGAGATTAATGAATTCTTTAAATAGATAACTGACACAAACTAAACTACAAACATCAGATTCTCTGATGTTTGGGCATCGAAGTAATCTAACTTCAGTAGCAATTGGAAATTCATGGCTCTCCCCAGGGACAATATCATGGGATGCCATTTGTACTGGCAGACTCGACACTCACTTACTAACAATAAAGACAGTTAAAGCTTTCAACGTCACTTACAAAGGATCTTGTATGCTTTAACTGTAATCAAACATCTCTAAGTTGATTCAAAACAATGGTGTCCTCTCTCATATTCAAATTCACTTTATAGAGATTGGTTTCAGGAATTCAGAGAAAATGGACGGCACCCACGCTTGGGAGCGATGAGAAAACTAACGCCTCAGACAGGAGACTCAAATAAAAAAAGCATAGCGACATGTTTTGTGGGCTATTGAGCGTAATGTGAATCGTCTAATTTTACGTTAACTGGCGTGTACGACCGTGGTCATTACACCATGACGACCTATCGTGAGTTCTGTGGGTTCTGTTAGTTACAAATTATCCAAGTGGAGGCTATCCCCTCTTACAGGGCAGATAACAGAGGGGAGCAAACACCCAAGCCAGTAGACCTCATCATCACAAACGAGGAGGGTATGGTGGCCAAACTGGAACACCTTGCCCCAGTTGGCACCAGTCACCATATAGTGTTGTCATTCAAATTTAACTGTTACCTAGTTCAAGAAAAGGCCAGGGCAAGGTGCAAGTATTACAAGGGAAATTACAACGGGATGCGGGAAGAGATGAGGGGTATCCATTGGCCTGACTCATTAAGACGCAAGAGCGCAGACACTACAAAGCCAGTGCCTCTAGGAATACGAGGGGATCCCTGCACATGAACCATGCGGTAGTCGACAAAGTTAAGAAGAAAACCCAGAAATTCAAGACGTGGGTTGGGTCAAACTATGAGCAGGACAGAAGGATGCATGCAAGAGCCAGAAACCAAACAAAGGCAGAGTGTAGAAGGGCTGAAAAGGAGTTACCGCTTTGCAAAGTCGCAATTGAAAACGCGAGTACGAGTATCAAACCTGAGGCTTGAAGATGGTAGTTACGCAGATTCTGACCAGGATAAAGCTGAGGCATTGAACAGCTTCTTTTCCTCGGTGTTCACAAGAGAGGATGCGATTAACCTTCCTGCGTTTGAGGACAGACGGTTCGACACAGCACTGATCCACATTGTGTTCACAGAAGAAATGAACTGTCAAAGCGACAGGTCCATAAGAGTCCCGGCCCTTACATGGTGCATCCCAGAGTGCTAAGAGATTTGTGCAACGAGCTTGCCGAGCCCCTGAAGATCCTGTACTATAAATTTCTGGATGAACAAAAGGTCCCCAGTGATTGGAAAATGGCTTATGTGATTCCTATCTTCAAGAATGGCGATCGTGACTCCACGAACAATTATAGACCGGTGAGCCTGATCAGCATCATATGTAAGGTATTGGATATTTGGACCCATATTCTGGAACGGGGTCGTAATATCGACAATATATACCTAGATTTTGCCAAGGCTTTTGACAGAGTAGCCCTTGAAAGGCCGAAAATCAAACTGGAAGGGTACGGAATTCGGAGAAATGTCCTCGCGTGGATAGACGACTTTCTACATGACCGCAAGCAGTGTGTGGTGATAATGGCACGAAATCATTATCTGTACCTGTCACAAGCTGGGTACCACAGGGCAGTGTATTGGGTCCGCTGTTGTTTGTTTGTTTCATAAATGAAATATCTGACGTTGTACACTTTATTTTTATCCTCTTCACCACTGATCGGCTCGTTAGCACCTTGGGCGATCGGTCACGTCTCTGTTACTTTTTTTTTCAAATGTTTGCAGATGACGCCAAGTTATTTCGGGAAATTATGAACCTAGCGGACTGTGAAGAGCTGCAGAAGGATCTCTGTGAGCTCCAAGAATGGTCGATGAAATGTCTGCTGAGATTCAATGTCACGAAGCGTAAGAGGGTGCACCTGGGGCGTAGCAACAGTAAGGAGGCGTATCATTTGTCTCAACGGGATGAAGAAACTACACTCTTTGAGACTGAATGTGAGAAGGTCCGAGGTGTGTTTGTTGACAATGAGCTGAAGTTCTCAGGTCATTGCGAGAAGAAGGTAAATCGGGCAAATAAATTATTGGGTCCCTCGTAACAATCTTCAAGGGTGAATTGTTTTTCCATCTGGAGTACTGTCACCCAGTCTGGTCCCCGAGATATTCTAGGGGACTGTCAGTTGGTTGAAAATGTTCAAAGGAGGGCCACCAGACTGGTGCCTGCACTTCGGCACCTCAACTACTCTGAGAGATTGGAGCGCCTGAACTTGCCTAGCTTATACTACAGACGGGCAAGGGGCGACCTATTGAGGTGTATAAGCATCTCAAGGGGCACTGCTCAGTCGAGTGTCCTTACTTGGAGCTGGCGGACGCACGCCCCACAAGGGGTCACAGCTCAAGATTGAAGAAGCTGCCGGTCCAGAAAACTGTGAGGGCAAACTTTTTCAGAGTGAGAGTTGTGAACTCTTGGAAGATATCTGCCAGAAAGTGTTGTGACAGCACTGAGTGTGAGCTCTTTCAAGACCAGACTTGACCAACACTGGAGCAGGTTCAGGTACATTCAGGAGCTGGTGCATACCCAGTACTTGCCAGCAGTGCGTAACAGAGACGTGACCGATCGCCCAAGCGACTAACGAGCCGATCAGTGGTGAAGTGGATAAAAGTAAATAACAGCATTGATTTTATTGATAAATTCAAGAAACCCAATGAATAATGTGAGTTAATAAGTTTTGATGTCAATTCGCTTTTCCCGAGAGTACCTGCGAATGACCTACTTTCATTTCTTAAAGATTAATTGTATCTGTTAGATTTGACTATTGAACATGAGAAATCTCTCAAAATGATACAGTTAAGCGTTACTGACAATGTTTTTAGGGCAAATGGAAAGTTTTATAAACAAATAATTTTCATGAGCCTATATTTATATGGAGTTTTCTTGAGGCTAGATTACTACCCAATATAGTGGACTTTATTCCTCCATGGTATAGATATGTAGATGATGTTCTTTGTCTTTAGCCTAAAAACAGTGACCCACTGGAATTTTTGGACAAGCTTAATGATCTTGTCCCTAGTATTACCTTCAAAATTTGATAGAGAAATAAATGGATCCCTCCCATTTCTTGATATGCTTATCATGAGAAATGGTCACAACTATAAATTTAAGGTGTACAGAAAGCCTAAACAGGTGGACAGTTTCATACATTTTTTATCGAGTCACCATGAATCTACCAAAATGTCAGTTTTTCTGCTATGCTTTTGAGATGATTGTGAATTTATGACCCTGAATTTATTGAAGAAGAATTTGTTTATTGCACAAAAACTTGGGTACCCTCCATTGTTTTTTTATCGTTGTCTTAAAAGGGCTAAAAATGCCCTTTACTGTACTTATACTAGACAAGTTCCTACATTTAAGAATATTTTGACTATATTATCGCAAGGAATTTGTCCCATTAGTTCAATCCCTTTAATTACTCAACATTAATGTTATTTTTAAGTATGACTCACCTATAACGAGTATGTCAATTAATAACAGCCCAACATTGAATGTAAATGGAAGTGTTTACTGTATTCCATGTAGCAACTGTAATGCAAATTATGTAGGTCAGACTGCGAAAGCATTACAACTTAGAATAAAACAGCACAAGCATAATAATATTAGCATAGCATCTGAAAGCAGTGCACTTTTCGTTCATATAAGAAACAATAATCATCCTGTGGATTGGAAAAAACAGTTTAGAAGTGTATAAATCATCATGTGTCACAGAAGGACTTCTGGTTGAAGCAAGTTTGATCAGGGAAATGAATTCTATGAACCTGATATGCTTTGAAAGCATTTGAGGTGCATATAGGATAGATGATTAGTGGGTCTCATGTTTTTGACCTGACTTGTTACGTCGGCCATTTTTATAAGCTCTTCTTTCGTGCGCTGTGTAGGTGGTGTGGGGATTAGTGGATCCCATGTCATTGACCCGACCTGTTATGTAAAGTCACCCTCAGTATATAAGCCTTTCTCAGTCCCTGTAAATTCAGTTGCCTCTGAAGATATCTTGAATAAAACGAAAGCTAAGGTGCTCCAGTGTTTCCCTTTTCCTGTAGGGTTTTATCGAAATTTTTCTTGTCCACGTTTCCATTTGTGTGTGTGTGTATTTATCACAAAGAATAATGATAATTTGCTCGTCGTTCTTCCCACACTCAGGTGCGGTTGAATATTCAACCAGGCATAATGTGTTCAGGCACGCTAATTGGACCCAGCTGGGTCCTCACGGCCGCTCACTGCTTCCCTGATGGGTAAGTGCCTCTCCATTCTCTTTAGGTGTATCTCTTCCTTTCTTATTTACTGTCAAGCATACTAGAATCTGGGATAAAAACAAATAAAAGATATTAACAGGAGAAAGTTTTACTGTAATCAATTAGTCGTACTGTATTGTATTTCATTATAACAAGGACTGGTTTTACCACGACAAGAGATCAAGGACAGACCAAACTGCAATTCAAGAGTCAATGTTTTGCGACTTTAGATAAATTATATATTCACAAGCACTTGTAGTTTCTGAAACTAAAAAGATGTCTAACTCTAAAGGAACCTTAAACTTCATGGAGATCTCTAACTCAAGCAAGACCTCTAGCTCTTGGAAGACTTCTACCTCAAAAAGAACTCTTAACTTTATAAAGTCTTCTAACTGTACCTCGGACACGGTACATCTTTTACTTTAAAAAATTTCTAACTCTGTGAAAACCTCTCACATTATGAAGAAAACTTTGCAATACTTAACGATTACTGCGCTCTTCAACGACCTATTTTCAATTTTTTTTTTTAGATAACTCGCCTCGAGAAAACCGCAAATCAAGTGGAGAAATTGCATGCAGTTTTTGTAATTTTGCTTTACCGTTGATTTTCTTCCTGAGAATAATAACGTCCATCCCAAGTCATTATGGAACTGTAAATGAAAGTCCTTGTTTGTCTTAAAAACTTTTACCAGCTACCGAAAAAACTTCCGGCGAACATTCCATACAAACACTTCCATCGACAGTTACAGTGAGAACATAAGAACATAAGAAAGTGGGATACTGCAGGAGGCCGACTGGCCCATACAGGGCAGATCCCTTTCACACCCATCCCAGCACTTCCATGTGCCTATCCAACTTCGTCTTGAAGCTCCCTAGCGTCCCCGATCCTACTATAGCACTCGGTAGCCTATTCCACATATCCACAACTCTATTACCAAACCAGTGCTTGCCTATATCCTTTCTGAATCGGAATTTATCTAATTTAAAGCCATTTGTTCTAGTTATTTCGTTATTACTGAGCTTCAGAACATCTTCCATTTTACCCTTGTTAATCCCACTTACCCACTTGAACACCTCTATCATATCTCCCCTAACTCTACGCCTCTCTAATGAATGCAAGCCTAAGCTTTTCAGCCTTTCTTCATATGGAAGGTTTCTATTATTATGGATCATTTTTGTCATTCTTCTTTGTACTCTCTCCAAAGAATCTATGTCCATTCTATAATAAGGACACCAGAATTGAACCGCATAATCCATGTGTGGCCTCACTAATGCTAGGTAAAGTTTCAAGATAATGTTAGCAGTTCTGTTACTCACACTCCTAGATATGAACCCAAGAATCCTGTTTGCCTTGTTGCGAACGCTAATACATTGTTTTCTAGGTTTCAAGTCGTTGCTAACAAATACACCTAGATCTTTTTCACAATCTGAGTTTTCTATTTCCGTGTTACCTAGTTTATACTTAACGTTTGTATTCGTCTTCCCTATCTGTAGTACCTTGCATTTATCAGTATTAAAATTCATTTGCCAGTCTACTGACCACTCATGTAAGGTATCTAGATCTCTTTGAAGGTGTTCAAAGTCACTGTCTGAATTTATCACTCTCCCCATTTTGGTATCATCTGCAAATTTACTAATCCTACTAGTTATACCTAAATCAAGATCATTAATGAATATAACAAACAGCAGAGGGCCTAATACAGATCCCTGGGGAACTCCGCTTTTGACCGCACCCCAGTCTGACTTAAATCCATTTATGCTGACTCTTTGTTTCCTACCAGTTAACCATGACCTAATCCATTTTAATAATGATCCACCTATTCCATGTGCTTCTACCTTCCTTATCAATCTCTCATGAGGGACTCTATCGAATGCTTTACTGAAATCTAAATAAATTATATCATATGACTTATCATTATCTACCACTTCATATACTTCTGAGAAAAAGCTAAGCAAATTTGTGAGACAAGAACGTCCCTGGGTGAACCCGTGCTGAGAAGAATGAATTAAGTTGAATGTTTCAAGGTGGCTTCTGATTTTCGTAGCAATAATTGACTCTAGCAACTTGCCTATGATTGACGTGAGACTAATGGGACGGTAATTTGATGCAATTGATTTATCACCTTTTTTGAAAATCGGAACTACATTTGCAAGTTTCCAAGCTTCTGGCACTAGGCCCGATTCTAATGACTTATTAAATAAAACTGCTAATGGATTACTCAACTCATCTCTACATTCTTTTAATATTCTAGCATATACCTCGTCTGGACCAGGCGATTTATGAGGCTTCAGTTTGTTAATTTCTTTAAGCACATCGTTACTAGTAATATTGATATTCATCAACATATTTTCTATACTGTCGTTATATACCTTATGAACTTCTGGAAACTGTGCTAGGTTTTCATTTGTGAATACGGAGCGAAAATTACTATTTAACGTACTACACATTTCTAACTCATCATCAGTCATTTCTCCTGTCGTAGTTTTAAGGGGACCTATTGTATCTCTAACCTTTGATTTATACAGTTGATAAAAAGCTTTGGGGTTATTTTTCGATTCGTTTGCTACCTTGATTTCATAATTTCTCTTTGCTTTCCTAATTTCTGTTTTTACCTGTCTTGTTAGGTTCTGATAGTAACCAAGTAAGTGATTTTCGCCTTTCTTAACTTTTCTATGTACTCCTTTCTTTTTCCCTAGAAGATCTAAGAGTCTATTATTCATCCATTTTGGTTGGTTCCGTATCGATCTGAATTTTCTTTTAGGGATGTGTTTATTTTGAGCATTATGGATTGTCGCAATAAATTGTTCATAAGTAGCTGCTAAATTAAATTCGGGGTTCTCCCGTCCTAAGTTGACAGTTTCCGGAGGTGTGGGGGGGATTAATCTTTTGACCATAGGGTCATCCCTTAGGTCTCTCCTTAAGCTACCGTAATTAGCCTTCCTAAAATCCGGGATCAAGGCCGAATTTTCCTTCTTCCTGCCATTCCATATTATGTTAAAATATATGGCTTTATGATCACTGTTTCCTAGTTCGTCTCCAATCCCAACATCTTTTACTAGATTTTCATTATTACTGAGAACTAAATCGAGGATATTATTTCCTCTAGTGGGCGAGTTTATGAATTGATATAAAAAACTATCTTGTACTACTTCTAGAAAATCTTCAGATTCATTATCGCTAAGTTGATTTTTCCAATCTAAGCCTGAAAAGTTGAAATCGCCTAGAATACATACATTGTTTCTATCAGATGCCTTCTTTATTTCCTCCCATAGCAATTTACCATCGTTCCTACTCAAATTAGGTGGTCTATATATAACACCAATGACTACGGACTCATTGCCCTCACCAATCTCTACCCAAATACTTTCATTGTCGCTATTTGTTTTAATGTTTGATTTATTGCAGCTTTTTAATGACACCCTGATATACACTGCTACACCGCCCCCTCTCCTTCCTACTCTGTCAAATTTAAATAGGCTATATCCTGGAATATGAAATTCTGCTAAAAAATTTTTGCTGTTTGAATTTATCCATGTTTCCGTTATTGCAATTATATCTATGTTCTCTTTACTAACAATGGCTCTGAGCTGGTCCATTTTGTTACACAAGCTTCTACTATTAGTATAATAAACACTCAATATATTTCTTCCGTTTCTATCTGTTTTACATTTATTACTTTGATGTTTGTTATTATGACTTACTATATTTTCAGCATTATCTACTTCTGTTTCACTGCTGTTATTTTCACATGGTATTTTCCTCTCTTTACCATTGATGGGATTTGGACATATTAAAACCCCACCTTTACTACCCTGTCAACTATCTTCGCTTGCACGGCCACCCCCTTCCTACTTAAATGCACCCCATCCCTTGCATACATACTATCATTACCATAGTACAGGCTCCAATTATCAATGAGTCATTTAACTAATAAGTGATAGTTAAACTCGGGAAGGAAGGCGTCTGACTAAATGATCTTTAAGAAAACTCCTAACTCTAGAAAGACACCAAACACTACAAAATAGGTTACTGTACGACCCTCTTTTCGCCTCTTCCCAGCGTCCACCGCTGGTTACCAGCGGCCAGGTCGTATGTACAGAAGCAGTAGATATATCACGTGTCGTCGAATTACCACTGGCTGTCCCGCTAGTCTTCGGTGATTTCCCGACGATTGGTGTCGGTGTACAGACAAATAAAAGGCGGGTAAATTTCCACCAGGTCACAAAAACACACTTGTGCACTGTAGTCCTCTTTAATAATCACTGAAACTTTACACAACTGTTCACAGGGTCCGACTTCACAACTGGGCTTCTTCTCACTTCGAATATGTATACCCTCAACACACTACCAGTGTACAAATCCTTAGTCTTTTCACTCTAAATTGCTGACAACTATTCCGCAATACTTGTACAACCATTAGCTTCAGTTGTCCTACTAGGCAGACAGGTATGGGAAGTTCAAGTACGTTCTACTCTGATCGAGGCTTACAATAGGTAGTAAATCATAACAAAATGATGCAATACATTCTAAAAATTCTTACATTGGCAATATATATATAATATATATATATATATATATATATATATATATATATATATATATATATATATATATATATATATATATATATATATATATATATATATATATATATATATATATATATATATATATACAAGAAAATCTCCTTAAACTTATCAAAGTAACATTATAATGTTATGCCGAGACACAATTTCGCATTATAGTTTTGTAAACTATGTGTTTTGATTGTTTTCTGTCCCCTGCAGAAGTTATTTTGGCAAATTTAGTGAAATTTTCGTGTATATATTGATGTATCAATTATGTAAGAATATTCTAGAATGTATTGCATCATTTTTGTTCCGATTTACTTATTATTGTAAGCCTCGATCAGGGTAGAGCGTTCTAGACTCTCCCGGGCGTCTCTGGGTTATTCTAGTATGTTCGAGAAGCCCCTGACGAGGCGTATATAAGGGGCGTG